ACAACGAAAGAAGATTCTTGACAGTCTTGTTGCATTTTATGAAGGTGTGTCAGCACACGAACTGATACATGCTGCAGGAGATCGCAGATTGTGGCGAGGCAAAATCGCCAACACCAGTCGGCAAGGCACCTGATGATGATACACTATTCGTATTCGGCCGAATAGTTGGTCCCACTATTCGTATTCGGCCGAATAGTGAAAATCACTATTCGGTACAGCCCTAGTAAATACCCATACCTGTGTGGATATATTTTGAGGAAACCAGTAGGAGTTAACACGTCTGATGGAAATACACTAGTACCTGTATGTATGTGACTCCTGGGCTCTTTGCAATCCTAGTTAGACGAGCGTCACTGAATATGGCCCAGCCAGAATACATAATTTTTCTGCAGTCTTGGTGGCCAACTGTCTGCCCCCCCCTCCCCATCCGCCTCTTTTTCCCTGCCTTTTTTTTTCGTTTTTTTTTTCTGATTATTTCCGTTGCTTTCGTGTAAGATTTCTGTACGTTGCTTGTATTTTGTGGGTCTGTATTACGTTTGTTGTCATTTGTAAATATTTGTAAAGGGATGTATGTTTTTAAATGTACAAGAAAAACACAAGAGTGAGTCCATGTTCAGTGCGATGTGTGTCATGCTGCTGCTGACTTCACCCCATCCTGGGGATCCGGTGTTGGAAAATCTGATAATGAATACCTTACCCCATCCTGGGGATCCAGTGTTGGAAAACCTGACAATAAGAGCTGTTTGTCTACTTTCTCTCCGGCAGCTGATTCAACGGTTTCACTATTTCAGACCTCAACAATCTTATCAGGGATGTTAAACTAACAGGGCAAACTCATATACCCCTTTCAACCTCCATAGACGTTAAAATTACGGTAGCCCTAGCGGCTACACATGCCTGGTATTATGTCCTATTCTATGCTGTTAAGGAAGCCATGTCGTGTAGCTGCCATTAAATTTTCCACAAGGCCCGTCCAAGCTTATGGTAAGAGCACTTATACATTTTGCAAGTCTCGATATGGATACCCGCACCCCATTGCAGGAGGGGAAAGAAGGATAGTCCCACTGAAGCCTGATAAGCGTATGATTAAACGTCATTGCTGAGTGAGTGACGTTCAACTCCACTAAGACCGCACAAAGTGTCACCATTCAGATGAGGATCATCCGCGCACAAGTCCCAGAAACCGTGTTCAACCATTAGGTTAAATTAGGGCCAACGACAACAACCGGGGTGGGGCTTTAGTAAGACCAACAATTCCCACTGCATTGGTACGGAACTAACATACGCCATTGCTCACACGGGACTGCAGGTTACGACAGGCTGGCGGTGCCGCTACGGGTTTCTCAATTATCACTTCCGAGGGTTAGCAGCGTATCTGGGATTTGCCCAGTTGGTCTATCGTCCAGTGTGAGATTTTGTGAACTCAGCATTTCAAATCTTTAGGCTGCAGCCCAGAGAAGACAAGTGACACGCGCACATATTGTCCCATTGGACAATCATTTGTTTTTTCCGTCAAGGGACATCAGCATAAGTGATCAGCGCACAATTTATCACACCCTTATGTCCCCTGGTCGTTTATATTCAATGTTTGGTAGTCGTTAGTCGGTCGGCGTCTGTGGCTTAGGCCCTGAGAACGCGCTTCGTAATGCCGGGGTGCCGGCTTCGATCCCAGCTGCGGGCCTTGCACCTCGTTTTTTAACAGTCATATCGAGAAGCCGACCGTTCAGAAACCAATGGCAAACTACTGAACGTAAATTTGCCTACAAAAACAACAACAGCGAAAAAATGATGGGATTGATTCAACAATGTCCTGTGAAAGATACGCAACTAAGTTTTTTTAATCGTTAGTCGGGGTACCAACTTCACCGCAGACAGGCTATCAGATGACTGCTTCATTCCTGTATCAGTGGAAATCACACAAAATATCATTCGCTGTCTTATTTGAAAAACAGTTTTTTTTTAAAACTGTCCTAACTAAATCTTGAAGCTTGCACATGCAAAGTAAATGCATAAGGTGAAATTGCAGCTCACCGTTGCTGTTGATGCAAGCAGTCAGCTACGAAACCCGCATTTGTCAGTCAGTATGGCAAAAGTACACACTTGGAGGCTCAACGTGACAGCTTTTCTTTGCCCTGTTGGTCTGTGGTCAGCACTGCTATTCTTTATTCTCAAGGTGTCAGACCTTCGGGTCCTGTTGGTCTGTGGTCAGCACTGCTATTCTTTATTCTCAAGGTGTCAGACCTTCGGGTCCTGTTGGTCTGTGGTCAGCACTGCTATTCTTTATTCTCAAGGTGTCAGACCTTCGGGTCCAGTTGGTCTGTGGTCAGCACTGCTATTCTTTATTCTCAAGGTGTCAGACCTTCGGGTCCTGTTGGTCTGTGGTCAGCACTGCTATTCTTTATTCTCAAGGTGTCAGACCTTCGGGCCCTGTTTGTCTGCCAACAAGAGTGAGATCTTCTGATCTTTTTAGCTAGCAGTCTGGAGGGGCTAAACGAACACAGACGCAAGAAAAATTCACTGATGTTTGTCATGGAGCACCTCAGCACTGGGTACATCCAGTTGTCTGTGAACTAGTTGGAAAGAAGTGTCTATACGCTTAAAAATGGATCAGATAACAAGCACATGTTTAATTAATTTCATCTTCTTTAATTGTGTTTTTTTTTTTTTTTTTTGCTATCAATTTCTTTCCAGACCTTTTGTGTGTCGATTTTCTAGACAACAATCAGCTGCTTTATTCCATATATATGGTTTCATTTTCCTTATAAATGTTAAAGTAGCAAAAGTATTGAACAACTTACTGATTTATGCAATGAAAGAAGAAAATGGTTTTTGATTAGGATGAAAACTATAAAACAATTGTGATCCAGTGTCAGCAAGTCGAGACGTGGGTGGACAAGTGTGCTTTGAACCACTACATCTCAGCCTAGCATCTAATTTGTCGTTTCTTTCGGAACAGAAGAAGAACCAAGAAGGAACCTGAAAAGTTCTTTGAGAAACTGTTCCAATTTTCCTGAGGTCTGTTCGAGCAACTGAAGTCTGGGACTCTTGTCGTCGGTAAAAAAAGAATTGGAGTCACATCTGCTGAGCATGTACTCCGACAGGACAAGAAATGATCCTCTCGATGAGAGGCAGGAGTTTCTCAGTGGCCTGAAGTGGTTGGGGAGGCAAAGTTCAAAACAATACCTCTGTGGTGTCTGGGGTGGAAGGAGTTGTGAAGAAAGCCAACTGCAGATCTGCCCCAGGACCCAGCGATGTCCCGTATATGGTATCCCAACGCTGAAAGTCATCTGAAAGCTTCACCACTTGCTAAGGCTCGCGTGGCGCCAACGGTACATATGAAAGGAGTGACAGAAAGAAAATGGAGTCTACATTCCCCAAGGAGCGAGACTCCTCTGATTTGTCTAAATTCAGGCCTATCTCGCTGTTGAACGTTGAGGGTAAAATGTTCTTCTCTGTTATGGCACGCAGACTAGGATACTAGGATATCGAGTGCTATGATGTCGATTCTTAATTCAACATTCAATAGACTCACGAATTACTTGATGCAGAACAAGTATATCGACACATCAGTGTAGAAGGCGGTATTCCGGGCGTCTCCGGATGCCACGAGCAGGTGTCGATGACTTGGCAGAAAGAGTAAAGGCAGAGAAGAGATATCTGTGCGTGATTTGGTTAGACCTCATCAGCGCCTATGGATTGGTACCCCACAATCTATTATGGTAGGCCCTTCGCATGTTTCACTTACCGGCAGACATCATTGCTACGATCGAGCAGTATTTTTCTAAATTCGCCGTACGCTTCTCTACCCTCACGTTTACTATTAGTAGACTGAGCTCCAAATTAGGATAGCAATGGGGTGTAAGATTTCTTAAGTACTGTTCGTCATGGCCACGCAGGTTATGTCAGATGCGACTGCCGGATACGAGCAGGGCTTTCAGATTGGGAATCAATGGAACGCATTTGTGGACGAAACTACCTTTAAAAACAGGCCATGAAAATGATGCAGAGGCTTGATTGTGTAGTTGAATGGTGCAACATGCAATTCAAGCAGCAGAAGTCAATGAGTCTTTTGATCAGACGTTAACCTGATCAAATGACGCACAACTTGTGCCTTATGCACAGCGAAGCAGACGCCCGAGCACCTATTATGCAAAAAACCCTTGTGATAAGACAGCCCTGAATACCAATAACACCCTGACTGTACATTCGTCTCACCTTTCACTTGAGTGTTGAGCGTCCACCAGATCCCCACTCCTGGCCACTCCTCAGTGCAACATTTTCTTCAGACCTAGTTGCTCTGTGTCCTCGCATTATTCAATCGATCGCAAAAGACCCTTACAGCTTATGGCTTGTCGTGCATCAATTCACCACCGAGTGGTGAAAAAAAAAAAAAAAATAACGCCGTCTCTAATAAATAGAGAAGGCCGCTCAAAAAAGAACACATCCTTCTGCCTGTTCGTTTCATAACCCATCTCCATTCTTCTTCTTCTGTCTTCTATCCCCCAATGGAGTGTAGGCCCTCAACTAACTCACGCTAAGTCATTCTATCCTTCGCCATGCATGCAGCTCTGCCTATCTTTTTAACTGAACTCTCTAGCTCCTTTCTCTAGTGTGTATTTCTGGCATTCCTATTTGTAAATTTGAACAAATAGAAAAATAATTTAATTTTTACTAAAATAAGCACTTGACTTGAGACAGTAAGATTTTTGTTTTGTTTTTGGGTGCTGTTTCCACAAAGGAAGTTAGATACAGTGCTCGTACTGCTGTAAGTGAGAATATTACTCAGTGAGACCCTTAAAAAGACACACTATAAGTTGTGCAGTATGTTTTGTTTTTTGTGTGCGCCTTTTCTGTTGACTATAACATTTAATAGAAACCGTTTTCCCCCTGGGACTTCTATACGGTGTGCCACATAAATAGACATACGTTTTTCCAATCTCTGCAGCGAAAGATTTGAGTTGACGTTAGCAGTAAACATTGGCGGCTGAGCGGTCCGTACCATGGCAGATATTACCAATTTGTTCAAAGCCACAGTCAAAGCTATCAGGTCTAGAAATAAAGCACTGAACGAAGCCCCTACAGATGAAGGTTCTAGAAATATACTCAATAAAAAACAAGAGAGTGACTTCGAATCTAAGGCTAGAAATCTGGTACGTCTACTTTCAGTCAGATTGTTGTTTCAAGTTGAACAATGACTGAATGATTGACATATGGCATAATTGCAGACATAACTGTGAGATTGTTTTAAAATCAAGTCAAATTTGAAATGATGCATTTTAATATAAACTGAACAAGTGCAGTTCGGAATAATTCTTTACTCTTACCCCTAGAGTACTGTGTACACCACTTGTGCAGGTATTGCCAATAGACTATTTTTGGGCTTGTCGGCTCTCCTTGCAGCTTTGGACGCAAGCTGGACGGCTTAGGTCGGCTTAGTGGGAGTTCTCTCCCTTGGCCGCATTCAAAACAACGAGCGGAAAAAGTCACGAATCAAATGACATACTTACCTATCAACATCCGGGTGCGTGTAGGGTTGCGTACAGTTGCGTCTAGGGTTGCGTAGTCATCATACGATTGCGTCTAGGGTTACCTATCATCATACGGTTGCGTGTAGGGCTGCGTAGGGTGTCTATCATCATCATACGGTTGCGTGTAGGGTGTGGGTTGGGGTTAGGGATAGGGTTAGGGGTAGGGTTAGATGTGAAAATTGTGACGTAGAACTTCCAAATACTGGGCGACAATCTGATGCTTGTAGGAGTGGCGCCACTGGAAGTGTGCCAGATATGACGGCAATAGCGCGCGGCTGGTGCCCAATCGGTGGCGAATTGTCCGTGTCAGTAGCATCCACCGTCTGTCGACTTTTTGGGTGTGTATGTGACTGTGCACGATTATAGGGGACTATGGCGTCAAAATTGTCACATCTAACGCTAAACCTAACCCTACCCCTAACCCTACCCCTACCCCTAACCGTAACCCTACCCCTAACCCTAACCCTACCCCTAATGCTACCCCTAACCCTAACCGTAACCCTAACGCTACCCCTAATCCTAACCCTAACCCTACCCCTAATCCTAACCCCAATCCTACCGCTAACCCTAACCCTACTCCTAACCACGCAAAATTATCGGTCATTAAAGCATACAGATCGGCAAAACACTACACACATTAAAAAAACCAGATTTCCCCGCAGCGTCAAAAGAAAAACCCAGATCTGGGGGACACAACCAAGCATTGGCAGCTCTGATGTCGACCTCACTGTCTTGTTTGATTCGTGACTTTTTCCGCTCGTTGTTTTGAATGCGGCCAAGGGAGAGAACTCCCACTAAGCCGACCTAAGCCGTTTAGCTTGTGTCTAAAGGTGCAAGGAGAGCCGGCTTGTCACCCAGGTCGTGGCATTCAATCATTGTGATTGTGATCACACTTCCAGTAGCAGCCTCGAGGGAGAAAAATAAAAATAAACCGGCAGAATAATTTTGTATCACAAGTGTGGATAGAAAGAGAGGTGAAGTGTATAACGATTTCACTAAATTACGAGCTTCCTTTTTTTTTTCAAGAAATAATTTGTGAAGCGTGAGTGCCCACGTCTTCTTCTTCTCTTTCACCTTTTACCTCATCAAAGTGTCGGGGGAGATGTAATGTTCGTTGATGAGCTCTGTCAAGAGCACTATTAAGATTGATGTTCATATACTATAGTAAAAAGTAACGCTGTAGAAGAATTGGCCGTTTGATTAAATTTCTGTCCTCAAAAAAATATTGAAAAGATGTGTTGTAAGGACTTGGCAAAATAAAATGTAATGGTGTCTTTACCTCTGGTGAACAATCTGCACAGAAGTCTCATCATTTACAAACTTTGTGCTTCACTCATAGTCATTCATACACTTGCTAAACTGACAGGCATGCATCACCATACTGGACTTTCATTTGTGGATGCATTTCTGTAGGTTTTGCCCTTTCACTACTTCATGGCACAAAGCGTCACAGGTCGACCCAGCCTAAAATGGGTACCAGGATGTATGTCATAGGGAGGTAAAGATGGCCGGCGTAATGCTGACCACACTACCCACCTAGTGTCGATTGAATTGTTAAGATTTAGCTGCTCTTCCCATATGCCTGACGCGCCTAAAGGTGTGAAAAGGTATCTTTACTTATTTTACTTTTCACTACTTAAAATTAACTGATAACAGAATGCTGCTACTCTTTTGTGCTTCCAAAAGTGGGGTTGCCATATTTAAACTGTTGTAACAATGTCCCCATGTTTGCCTGCGCCACGATGTCACATGCTTATCACATTTGACATCCTTAACAACAGTATTGACAGGTTTCAAGACAGTGGCTTGGTGATTTTAATTTCTGTCACACTTTTAAGGTTTTCATTTTAAATCCCCTCATAAATACAGTGTTATATCTATATACATCTTTAATTCATTCCTGATTGTTGGACATTTATGAAACACAACATATACTAAATGAGTTTTCCTAAAAAACCCTGATGCTTTTGGCAAATTATACATAGGTGAGGTTGTATAAAATACCTAAAACACTGCTTAACTCTTTGAGTTCCAGAGGGTTTAGCATCACAGGCCCGAGGAGTAGTCAAAAGAGACTAAAATCAGCGCAGCATGCGTTTACTGGGTTTCTAGGCTGTAACCTATGAACGTATGATGCGTTCCTTGGGACTCAAAGAGTTAATACTAAAATGCATAAGCAGTTAGATATAGTACATGAAAATTTAACCCCACTTTATTTTGCTGAGAAGAGTCAAGTTCCTACTAGATACATTTTGTAAAGATAATTAGTTAAATTTGTTTGTCCATTAAAAAGTATATGTTTAATAAAAATGTTCAGAAATGTAACTGTGAACATTTTGCACGTGATAAACAATTTTTTATGTTTTTAGTGCTTTGTTATTGTATTCAGCTTAACTCTTTGAGTCCCAAGAACATGTAACGTGCTATTTGGTAACTACCCAGCGGTCCTATCAGCATGTGACGAGTGCGAGTTTTTAATTTACTACTGATCAGTGTAAAAACGCAAACTGGACAGCTGGACCACTCGTTCAAAGAGAATAAATATTAGTTTAAAAGGCAGTTTTCTTCAATGTCAATTAGTTCTGGTGCTGTTTCTCTTATTATTTAGGAATAAAACTACACAATTACAGACTAACTGAGTATTATATAGAATTACTTTTGTGTAAAGGTACTGTTTATTTCGGGAAGTCAGTTCTCTTTAGCAAATAATGGTGCTCTGTTATGATGTTCTAAAAGTTTTTCTAGAACGAGAGCTAATGGACAGATTGTGTTTATATTTTATTTATACATTGCTAAGTGGTTCATGTTAATTTATGATTCATTTAATATATATTTTATCGAGTTTTCCTTGACTCCTTCGGTGGTAAATGAAAACATTTCATTTTATTAATTTCTCTATAAATACCATCTGTTTATTTACTAATATTTAAACTACTAACAAAGTTTATTTATTGTAGCAATATTCTAATATTATTCCTTAACAATCCCTGGTCACTTTGATGTATAATATGTGTATGTTGCGTAACAGTAGAATTAATATAGTCTGTTTTAAAGTGTTACGCTTATGAAATTTTAAAATTGTATTGTCCACCCCTTGGGCCTCTGATGCTTAACCCCCTAGGACTTAAGAGTTAAGTAATAAAAGCTTATGTTGTAAAAAAAAAAATTAATTTCATATTTAAAAACAAAAATGTTTTAGATGAAGACAATAACAAAACTGAGGGACTTTTTACTGGAGAACAGAAAGGAGTATGTCAATTCAGGGAGGTAGGTACACTATCCACATAAATCGTATTTTATTCTTCTTCTTCTTACTGGTTGTAAACTCCAGCAAAAAATGTTGGTTGTTCATCCTCTTCTGGACTTTGGTCTTGTTTCAGAACTTAAGTTTTGCATGCTTACCCATTTCATAGATCTGGCTTATGTGTATGCAGACTGTAGGTTCCTCATCTCTCAGATAGGTGCACTCCGACTTTAAAGGAGACAACCATAATTAGTCACCTTTTGCAGTGGGTATACCCTCTGCTCCCCCCCCCCCTCTCACCACCCCAATCTAAGGCCTCGGAACACACATTGATAATACTTTATCAGTGCTATTTACCCATTGAAAAAATGGGAAATCATTGTGGGGTTTTATCTGTAACATAGTAGGAATACCCAGCGTGCAGTAATGTCAGTTGTGACCCAGCAAGCAGTAATGTCAGTTGTGACCCAGCATGCAGTAATGTCAGTTGTGACCCAGCATGCAGTAATGTCAGTTGTGACCCAGCAAGCAATAATGTCAGTTGTGACCCAGCATGCAGTAATGTCAGTTGTGACCCAGCATGCAGTAATGTCAGTTGTGACCCAGCATGCAGTAATGTCAGTTGTGACCCAGCAAGCAGTAATGTCAGTTGTGACCCAGCAAGCAGTAATGTCAGTTGTGACCCAGCGTGCAGTAATGTCAGTTGTGACCCAGCAAGCAGTAATGTCAGTTGTGACCCAGCAAGCAGTAATGTCAGTTGTGACCCAGCAAGCAGTAATGTCAGTTGTGACCCAGCGTGCAGTAATGTCAGTTGTGACCCAGCGTGCAGTAATGTCAGTTGTGACCCAGCAAGCAGTAATGTCAGTTGTGACCCAGCGTGCACTGATGTCATTTGTGATAACACACAATGGAAAGGCAAAAAAGGGCATACAATCTTACTGCTGTTGGTACCTTCAAAATTGGAACACTTTGCTGCCCTTGTGAAGATAGGAACAGAAGGCTCAAAAACTGTCCTCTGTGTTGTGATGTCATTTGTTAACTCAGCTCAACCCAAATAAGCATAACAACTGTAGGTTTGACCATTTCATATTAATACTATTTTTCTGTTAATATTGGATTCAAGATTTTGGACAGCTGACACTTTAGAAAAAGATTTGTTTCGTGATGTAAATTTCCCATTTTTGCACTGGGAGTACGAAGGTTCCATTGCTCAGCTACTGAGTGAGTGCTTGGTGCCGCACTTTGAGCTGTGAATTTGATGTGGAGTGTTATTTCTTTTGTGCTGACAGCTTTGTGGTTGTGAGCTGCACTAAAAATGGAAGGCAGCTGATTGCGTGTGGGTGCAGTGCTGGCGTTTGTAATTGGACTGCTTGCCTCAGCAGTGAGTTGCAATTCTGGCGTGAGACTGTTAGCCTATGCATATTTGACAGCTGCCTTTTTCATTGTACTTTGAATGTGCAAGCTTCGCAATTTTGTTGGGGCTGACAAGTTCTTCACCATTAGTTTTCAAATGAGACAGGGAAGAACATTTTGTTTGGCTTCCACTGGCACAGGACCAGAGCAGTTATGTGGAAACCCTTCTGCAGTGAAGTTGAAACCTCGACAAACTAATGACTATATTTATACTACTAACAGTATACTTTTGCAGTCATTTCTGCTGTTGAAACACTTAATCATATTTGAGATGAAAAAAAGAATGATTAAATAATTACTCTTGAGTGTGTGTGTGTGTTTTTAAAAAAAAATTATACCAGTCTAAGATCTAGCAAAATGAATACCCTTAAACAGAAATCCTAAATGTCTTCTGCCTTAGCATTGGTTATCATCACTTTCATTGTTTTGTCTGTAGCAGACATTAGGGATCATGACCCATCAATTATCTCTTTTGTCAGTTTAGTTAATATTGCCTATTTTATGTGTTGCCCAGCTGTTTAACCCTTCAGTATACATCATTCTTTGTCTTCATTGACCATTTTAATCTATCATTACTTCTCTTGCCTAGTAATTTCCCACTTGAGTTTGACTTCCATATTCAGCGCTGTTTTTGGATCTTCTTTTTCTTTTCTTTACTCCTGAAATGCATCACAGCATCAGGGCAGGAAGAGAAATCTGGAAAAGGCCCTTCTGTTTGCTGCATATGTAGTACTTTTTACTGTCTCCAACATTTCTGCAGTCCTCATTCGACATGGTGTACGTCTGATTCTGTTACCGCTTGCATCTGTATAACTCTGTAGTGCCCTGTCTGTTGCCAGTCTTGTTACTTGGCCAAACCATTTGATTTGTTTTTTATTGATAAAGTTCACTATTGGTTTTCTGCTAGCTGTCTTCCTAAAATTATCGTTCCATTGTTAAATTTTTGTGTGTGCACCTAACATAATACTAAACATTTTATTTCGGTCATGATTATTTTCTTGTCTTCTAAATACATTGTCTGTGTTTGACATTTGCCTTTTCTGGCATCTTCTGTCATATATATATATATATATTTTTATTTTTATTTTTATTTTTTTTATTATTTTTATTTTACAGTTTATTATCAAACGGTGGGTCTGGTATGTCAGAGGCGGACAGGGACCAGATTGATGCATACTCACAAGGCATCATCAGATCTTGCAGGGAGACTATTATTATGTTTCGTGTTGAAACTGATCGTCAGAAGACGCATCCTCAAGTCAAGGAGCACAGAAATGCCGTTATGATACTTTTGGAGTCTTATTTAAAAGGTCTGAATTTGTGGATATTTGTGTACTCCAGATTCTAGTAACATAATGTGTAGATTCAAGAGCCATGGTGGCTTGATGGCTAGATGCTTCTATTGCCAGCGAAGAAGTCTGAAGGAGATTTTTTTCTCCAAAAATTACCTTAGTGTACAGGTCGATCTAGTCTAAAATGAGTACTAGATAAAATCCTGGGAAGTAAAGGCAGCTGGCATGATTTTGATAGTTGACCACATCACCCACTGAGTGCTGATTGATCTATAAAATATGAGTATAGCATCATACTCCTCCTTTTGAGTCCCCTAAATGTTTTGCCACTTTGGCCTCATTTGTGGTCCTCAATTTATTCCATCCTATTACTGATCCCTATCTTGACCATGCGTCTCTAGTGTGATGACAACCTTAGAATATTTATACTTGTTGACGGTATATCCATACATTCTTTTCCATGTCTGAGCTGTTTTTTCTATGTTTGTATTACCTTCTCGTATGTCCTGGCCTGTAATATGTGAAGGCCTTATTCATCCTGCCCCAGCAGCAGTGCCTGTTTTTAGATTACCTATAAATTTTTATGTTTGAATGGATAATTTCTTTTATGTGGTTAGACACGTCCCATTGGGGAAGGAAAGGGGCGGGGGATAAATCCACTGTCCCCAACAGTTAAGTTACAGGACATAGCAGATAACACCCCATTTTAGTCTGTTGTGGTTTTTCTAGGAAAATTTATGTTCATGAGTTTGCCATTGGTTACTAAACAGTAGTCTATCAATACCGCTGTAGAAACCAGTGCAAGATGGTTTGCTGCCAAACGCATGCAGCTGGAATCGAACCCAGCACCACTTTATTACAAAGCACATTCACATATTGTAAAAGGTGATTATATAGGTATGACAGATATTGCAGCTTAGCTGTCAACCAGAACACAACATACCAACCACCCTTTTAAGGGTGAGTACAGAAGAAGTAGAAGGAAGAGATGATAAAACCAGAATTGCTGTTTGTCATTGATGAAAGTAGTCAGTCACGAGAAGCCACCCATACATGCACAGTATTACTGCATAGAACACTTTGCCAGCCCGAATGCAAACTGGCCACCCATCTTTTTCCTGAATATCAAAACATGATAATGTTTTTCCATCATAAGCCTTTTCGAGGCAGTCCTTATAAGTATACTCAAAATTGTGCAGAACATTCACCTCAAAAAATTACACGTTTTTTTTAGTTCTTCCTTATTTGTTCATTCACATTCCAAGATTCAATGTCATACTGCTGAAAAGATTGAATATAACATTTAAGTACTGAGAGATGGTAGTAAAAGAGTAGCAAGATAGATGTGTCAGCCATTAGATTTCACAACTGAGCTGTAAGTAGACATCTGTGCTCAACCAGTGTCTTCTTGAGGATGAATGAAGAATAGTTTTCAGAGGTGCTAACTCATTTAGTGTCATTTTTGTGTGTAGACAGTTGAAAGCCAAGCTGGTGAGCCGTATGAATGTACCTACGTATTCAAATCTGTTCTGTGCTTTTGAGGGTCTTGATTTTACTGCATTTTTGTGAATATTATATGTTAACTACCTCATATTAATTTCAGATGTTTGCAAAATTTATAGTGAACAGCAGGCAGTCAGAGTTACAAGGATTATCAACAGAAAAAGAATGTAATTACGAGTTATCTTTATAATCTACAGTATTATTCATCTACATTTAGAAATCATTGTCGATATTTATATCAGCATTTTCTTATGTAACAAATATAATGAACACTCTTTTATTCCTGAGTCTTCTTTTAAAAGAGTTTTTTTAATTTCTTGAATACCTCATTATTAATAAATAGTTGAAATAGGACTAGTATCAGTTGAGTTATCACCATTTTCTGGTGGTTTACCATTTTGCCACCATATATACTGTCAATAAATTTTATATACATTGGCCATTTTCACTTTTTAACTTTCTGGTTCTAAATCTTCTCTTCTCTTGTAAATTTCTATTTTAACATGACTTCTCCATCGTGGGTACTCTGTTCTGTCTTACTTCTTCAGCTTGCTCACCTTGCTTGAAAATATTTGTCGTCACCATTATATTGACTCATAATTTCCTTTACATAATTCAAGGAGCCCTGATGAGCACAAAAGATTAACTTTATCAATAAGCTTATGTATTATACCAACAATGAAAACGAACAAAGATATTTTCAATGTTTTTACATTACATGTGTAATAATTGATGATTATGTTTTATGAGTAGCCTACCCTGCATGCAAAGACTTGACCCGGGGGATTGTGCATATGAAACCTCTTGTTGGTTCAATGGACAAGAAGGCGTTTACCAGCAGGCTCTGTGGAGAGCTTCGAGCAAGGCAGGGCACTTAAAACGTCTTTGTCATCCACTGCACCTAAGTCCATTTCCAAACGTCTTAACATTTTCCTGCCAATGGATCAAGATGGACACAGGCGAGAGTGAGGTCGACGAATTGCGCAACTCTTCCTCACTTAAATCCAAGTCCTTGAGCAAGTCACTTTCATCTAGCTACTTTTGTCTTCATCACTCGTAATGGATGAACATCTTTTATGGGTCCATATTTTTTTAAAAATACATATGCAATGCCAGTGATGAGCTTTGAAGCGTTTGAGTTCAGATTTTTTTCAGTAGATATTGATCTGATATCACATACAGAAACTATAATGAAACTTTAGAAACAGGATTGTAATAATACTTCTGGTTTACCTTATTTTTTACAGAAGGAATATTTTAAACTGGTAATATGGCTAACTGATAATTGATGTCAAATTAGTTTTGGTACTGAGACCTTAAACATTATTTTAACTGTTCTAACAGCTCCAGACTTGAGCCAGAGAGGAAGCACAACCATTTGACCAGGTATCAGTTAAAGAAGGACATGAATATTGCCCAGAACCTGCAGTCTAGTGGAGATAAGGATAACAGTGCAGGTATTGGACTTCAAATATATTTGCTGTTTTCTGTAAAAATCAACATCATTTTCAGTTTCCACTTCTGCCGTTAAGCGTTGTGGGAAGGAACAGTTTGTGATCCATTGCTTGATGGGCAGCAATGGCTACTGTCATTCCGTGTCGATATAGAAGCTCTTTAATGTCATCAATCCATATTCTTCTAAGATGGTCTCTTGCTTTCATTTCAGATATATTCATGTGTAGCGCCTGCATTGTTAGTTGTTCTGGCTGCATTTTTACTAAAGGACCAAACCATTTGATCTTCTGTTTCTCAATGAATTTGCTGCCTGGTGTCGTTTAAAAATCACACACTGACATAATTGGGATTTTTTGTTTTTTAGCAATGTTGTACATACTTTGCATTGGTTTCAACAGGAAAATCAAGATCTAACCATTCAGAATGCAGTGGCAAACTACTGAATGTAAAATTTCCTCTTGAAATCACAAACAGCCAAAAATGCTGGGATTGGTTCTGCAGTCTTTTAAAAAGGATATTCAACACATTTTGGGGGTATTTTTTCAAACATTTAGAACAAAGAAATCTGCATCATAACCTTTCCAGAACAGTTATGACAACAGCCGTAGCCCAACGTATAGTTTGTGTGTGTGTGTGCGTGCGTGTGCGCGCACGCGCGCACGTGTGTGTGTGTGCGCGCGCGCGCAGGAAAAAAAACTGGTTGTATCTTAATTTTAATTTTAAGCTGGGTATAGCCACATACAACTACCGCACCATCGCATTAATAAGTCATGCCAACAAAATCCTCTTAAGAATTATGAAAAGGATTGAAAGGAAATTACAATATGAGCTATATGAAGCACAAGCGGGTTTCAGACAGAGGAGAGGAACTAGGGATCACAACTTTAATATGAAAATAATTTTTGAAAAATGCAGAGATTACAACGTAAAACTTCATGCTTGTTTTACTGATTATAGCAAGGCATTTGATTGTGTCCAACACCACAAACTGTGGACTATTATGAAAAGAATGGTGTTTCCAGCGCATTTGGTGCATTTAATTGGAAATCTTTATCATGAACAACAAGCAGCCATCAGAGCAGCTGGTGAAACATTTGATTGGTTCGAGGTGCAAAAGGTTGTGAGGCAGGGGTGCATTCTCTCACCTTACCTATTCAATATATACACAGAAAATATAAGGAGAAATGTCATAAATGACCAGACTTGTGACAGTTATAATCCGCTCTAAATTGGTGGCAACCCTATTCCGGAACTCCGCTACGCAGATGACACAGTCATCCTTTCGAACAGCGTAAAGGGAATAGAAAATTTAAGTTTGTCTGTCCAAAAACACAGTGAAGATTAAAATCTGTTTTTGAATTCAAAGAAAACTAAAATAATGTCCACAGATAAAACAGGCTGTCCCCAAAAATAACAATAAATGATGAAGAAATTGAAAATGTCACAAACTTTGAATATCTAGGCTCTATAATAAACAGCAATGGAGACTGTTCGACAGAAAATAAAAAGAGGATGGCCATAGCAATGCAAAGATTGAACGCCTTAAAAGTCTATGGTTAAGCACCAACAAGGAGATAAAATTATAATTTTGAGAGCATGCATCTTCCCTGTGGCTACATACGCATGTGAGTTGTGGACTATCTCTCAGTCCTTAAGAAAGAGAATAGGGGCTTGTGAGCTGAAATGCTATAGAAAGATTCTCAGAATATCTCGGACAAAGAAGATGAGAAATATTGACATCTTAAAAGATCTGAACATCAAGGAAGATTAGCTAATAAACAGCATCCTTTCTCGGAAGCTGAAATATTTTGGTCATATCAAGCGCCACGACGGATTGGAAAAAATTATAGCAAAAGGCATGGTACCAGGCTGACCGACAGAAAGATGGGCACAGGATATAAGTGACTCCTTGAATATGAAAGTACATGAAGTGGGAGAACTGGCGAGAGACCGAGTTTCTTTCAGGCAGATTGTGATGAGAGCGACGTTCGGCAAAGGACCTGCTACATGATGATGATAGCCACATACATCCAGTTTTAACATATGGTGGTGAGTCCCGGACAATCGGTAGGCATGCCTAACAGTTCCTTGAGGCCGTAGAGATGTAGTTTTTACAGAAGCATGCTTAAAATAACTTGGTCAGCCAAAAAAGAGCAGCTAAGCGGTTTTGAAAGAGGCTGGAGCCCCAAGACAACTTATCACAGACATTAGAAGGAGACGGACATCATTTTTCGGCTATGATATGAGAAGAGGGAAAATGGAACATGTTGTGACCACTGGAAAGATCTGTGGAAGGAGGGATAGAGGAAGAGAACGAGAGAAGATTCTGGACAGTCTTGTTACATGCCATGGAGGTGTGTCAGCACATAAAACTGATACATGCTGCATGAGATCACGGATTGTGGAGAGGCATGGTCACCCACGCCAGTTGGCAAGGCACCTTATGCTGATGATGATTAACTGATATATTTAGTCATTATTGATACATGATTGTAGTGCATCTTTCTGTGAGGTAAGAAACAATCTGCCAACAAATATGTCAGATCTGTACAACAAGTATACATGCAAGACTATGGCTCTGGAACAAGACTAAAATCCAGAAGTGGATGAACAGCCAGAACTTTCTGCTGGAGCGTAACAGCCGGTGAATGTGAAGAAGAGGAAGAAGAGACCATCTGTTTAAGGACTCATTTTTCTATGAAGTGGATGGAAGAATTGTAAGTCCAGAGAAGAAACAAAAACACTCGATTGATACTTGTACTAGTACTTTTATGTTTTGTTTACTTCAGTTGCAGGTAGTTCAGAAAAGCAGAAAGCACAGCCTGCTCACCAGCAGTTGGATGAGAGATTATCATTTGATGTTGATAGTGAACTCACACCAGAAGAAGCCCAGCTGGTATGTTTTCCCTTGTACATTCATGTGGCTTGTCAGTTCTGAGTCATGAGTTATGTCAGTTCTATCATTGCTAAACATGCAATAGTTTTTAGTAGACTTAATGATGCTGTTACATTAGCACAAGTTAACAGAAAATATTTCTTCTCTTCTTCTTCTTCATGTTCACCAGCTGTACGCTCTACAGAAAGTTCTGTTTGTTCATCCACTTCTGGGCTTTGGTCTTGTTCCAGAACTTGAGCTTTGTCTGCGTATCTGTTTTACAGATCTGGCTTATTTATGTGCAGACTGTTAGTTCCCCGCCATATGCAGACTGCTAGTTCCTCGTGTCTCAGGCAGATGCACGCAGACTGCAAAGGAAACACCCCTAATTAGTCAACTTTTACGACACGCTTGCTAGGAGGGTAATCAGTCTATTCTTTTCTCTCCAGAATGGGGTTCTGGAACCTACACAGGTAGAAATAATTCTAGCACTACCAATTTTGAAAATGTTCTGAGGTCGATTAAGGTTGTTCAGGAATCCAGACTCCTGTAGACTTTCTCTGCATTGCTTCAGAATTCTTCTAGGAGAATCTCCTTTCCAGTTGGTTGTCAGATCTAGTCATGTTTCCTTTTTCAAAAGTGGTGGGGGGGGGGGGGGGGGGGGGGGAATGGTTAAGAACACTGGATTTTCATTCCTGAGACCCAGTATCAAATCCTTAGCAAGTTTATAGGTTTATTCTATCGAGGGAAAAAATAAAATCCTAACCGACACAGCCTGTGACGATTACATTAGCCTTGCTGCCCTAAATCCTCAGTGGTAAAAAGTGGTAAAATACAGGCAGTTAAAAAAAAAAGACCTAGGAAAGAAAAAAAATGGCAGTATTTTTTTAAACTCGTTCTTAAATAGTTAACCACTAATTTCAGTCTTTTGGCTGCTTGAGGTTAGATTTACTTGTTTTACAGGCCAGCATTACCATTACATGTGTAATGGAAAGTCACAGAACTTGTATAAATAACTTTACAGTTATTCCTATCTGAAAGTTATTACATTACACACTGCAGGAGATCATGGATTGTGGAGAGGCATGATCACCAACGCCAGTCAGCAAGGGACCTGATGCTGATGATGTTGTATAAACAGCTTTACAATTACTCCTGTTAGAAAGAGATTTTACATTAACATATTCTATCCAGGGACACTGCCATAAAGAAATAAAATGGGATAGGTGGGGGGGCCTTATAATTTTCCAGAGGTCAGGTCAATGAGCTAAGCATTGTTAAGGGCGCAATAATGATAAAATAATCATAAATATGATATATTTGAAACGTCTGTGGCCTAGGCTTTCCGAACGCGCTTTGTAATGCTGAGGTGTCGGGTTCGATCCCAGCTGAGGGCCTTGTGCCTTGCGTTGGTTTTGACAGTGGTATCGAGAAGCCGACTGTCCAGAAAGCAATGGGCTACTACTAGACGTAAATTTGCCCCAAAAACCAACAACAGCCAAAAAAATGCTGGGGTTGGTTCTACCACATCCTGTAAAGGATTCGCAACTAACTTTTATATTAGAAACCATTACAAAATGTACAAACAAACACTTGAAAAGAGAACGTCTGTACATGATTAGTCTTCTTGTAAATTGTGTGGGGTCGGTGCTCAACTCCCAAAAATTGGATGGGGGTGCTCATGGTACCTGAGCATCCAGGTTCTGCAGCCCTAGTGCTGTCTGAATTTTTGCTTTAATACCCACCCTAGTTAATGTTTGGTGTGTAGCCAGACTAAAATATTCTGTCAAGGGTGAAAGGTCAGATTAAACCCACCCCCCACCTCTTTTTCCCAATCCGCTCTTTATATACTGGTTACAAATTCTCATATACCTGTCTATTGTTTTCAACAGTTTGAACAAGAAAATAAAACTTTATATGAACAGATGAACAGCATGGTTGAAGAAGTAAGGTGAGTGATATAGCTTGATATAGTACTGTAGTTACAATTAACATCTCAAAAGTTTATATAATTCTGTTTTGTCAGGTAATGGTTACTTACATGGGTGGCCAGCTTGGTTTTAATTTGGTATACGTTTTTTTTTCATGTTTGGCTGGCTTTGGTTTGATTTTCTGTAGTATTCGTCATCAGCAAACAACAGATCATTTACAGAACATTGTTCTCTTCAAGGCACACCAGAAAATCTTTCTCTCTCTCTATCTAGTTTATGTTTATCTTTATTTGACGGATGAACATAACGACACACGGATGTAACCCAAAAGTGCTCCATTCTACGTCTAACTCAAGCCTGAGTCTGTAGAAACTTAGCTCAGTGCATGAACTCTGTGCTACCGGCGAGGATCCTGAAATACTTTTGGGTCAATTTTTAACTCAAAATTGTGCCTTGGCAGCGCTGTTAGGCTACTCTGTTTGATTTCCAACTGCCAGGAGATTTTTTACATGCGCAAGAATACACATGGGCATCCAATCTTACTACCCAGAGACCAGGAGGCCATTACTATGAGTCCTTTTTAGGGCTACTTAGTGGCAAGCAGTGCAAAGCCATTTTATGTAGTGCACAAGAACCTCATCACAATTATAACCTAAAGCCCCCCCCCCCCCCCCCCTCCCCCTCTTCGGGGATTTTGATTGAACATGACTATTTTTTGTCTTTTTTTCTGTTTTTTGCAAAGCAAGCCAAGCCGAGTAGCGAAGAAAAGACAACATAATGAGCCTGATTTAGATACAGTGTGGATTGTGGACAGAAGATACATTAAAACATCTCACAAATAAAAAATACAGTGGGCCCTAGAGAGACATTAACATATATCACAAATATATTGCAGGTTAGAGACTGAAGTGTTATGAACATGTATGGCCACTTCTTTTATTTCAGGCAAATAGAGGGTCAGGTAGTTGAAATAGCGAAACTGCAAGAAATTTTCACTGAAAAAATACTTGAGCAGGTTAGTGACATTAAGTATGTGTTTGTCTATGTCAAACTGTGTTGCTATTATAGTTTTGTCTTGTCAGTATACCATATTCTACCATGTATAAGTCAGAATATTTGTCGACATTTTTACAATTTCAAATGTCTGCTCATCGTGAACATGAAATTATGCAATTAAATATATAATTAAATGCATGCTACTATTCTTTCCCCCCAACCTTCCCTTACTATTAGCCTCACGACAATTCCTGATCTGACACCCACCCCTTTCCACTTTAAATATTCAATAAAATATAAAAGTTGCTCTTTGTGGTCTTAAAAATATTTTTCTAAATTTTGGGCTAAAAAATTGAGGTCGTCCTCTTATGCACAGAGGGAAAAAAAGAGTATGTTATGGCATGTAATAACAGGATATTAATGTACAATAAATGGCAAAGAAACTGAAAATCTCGCATACTCTGGATCTCTTGCCTAAGTGATTATCAGCAGCGATAGCAGATCACCTCAGCACAGCAGTTAAATTACACTTTAGGCCTATGGTAGAAAACAAAGAAAGCATGTTGTGAATAGGCACCTTTTATGTCATAACATATAAATGTGACTCATGGACTATTTCATAATCACCAAAGGAAATACTGGGGGTTTTGAATATTAAATTTTAGAGAACAGTTCAAAAAACATCATTGTTTTTTTTAAAAGAAAAATGTCAGAAAACATATTTTGTTACTATCACTTGCATGTTTGCTTTAGTTACCCCCTTTTTGTTTGTTTGTTGCATTTAGGATGTTCAGATCAACAGCATTGCTAACACAACAGTGGGAACAACAGAAAATATTAAAGATGCTAATGAAGAAATTCGAGAGGTGAGTTCAAAAATGAATTTATATAGGGCCTATTTATTTTCTAGTAAAATAGTGCAGCTATTTACCACAGTAACGGCTAAATAGCTTTCACCTGTGATACCTAAGAAGAATACCTGGCATTAAGTGGCAGGACAAAGTCACAAACACTGAGGTGTTGGAAAGAGCATGTGTTATAACAGTTTTCTCAATGCTCAGTCTACAAAGGCTCAGATGACTCGGTCACACCTGGAGAATGATGTCTCTAAGGACATCCTCTATGTGAAATTAAAAGTGGGTGAAAGATGTCAAGGGCGACCTCTAGAAGTATATAAAGAAGTGTACAAATGGGATATAAATGATACAGGTATTAAGGTGGACTTATGGGAACAAAATGCCATAGATCCTGTTGTGTGGAGGGGTCACATCAGGAAGGGAATGAGAATGAAGAAAGAAATGATTGCAGAAACGATGAGAGCTGAGCGTCTGAGAAGAAACACACTAAACCACAAATGTTAACAATGGTCCTGAAATCCCATGCTATAAATGTGGAAGACTTTTTTTTAACGCAGGCGGGTCATGTTAGTCACACTCGCCATCCCCAAGGGGTTTGAGTCCCATGTTTCCTCATAGCACAGTATAACTCTATCTTCTGGAAAGATGGAAAAGTGCCAAAACTCACCACAAAGTCTCTGTTACAGCAGCTCTTTAAAATAATGCCTAGATTATTTACTGCCTCTCCCCTCAGCATATATATATATATATATATATATATATATATATATATATATATATATATATATATATATATATATATATATATATATATATATATATATATATAAACACATTTAACCAAATTTGTGTTTCAAGTTAATAGTTATATTCCTTAAACATGCTCTGACTAATAAAGAAGAAGCAACATTAAACCTCATGCTAGTGGGGAATCACAAACATACAGGGTCAGCCTCATATTTTTAATAGATCAATCGGTCCTCGTTGAGTGATATGATCAACATCACTCCGGCCGCCTTTACTTCACAGGACTTTACCTGGTAGCCCATCTATGCTGGGTAACTCAAAGACAAAAACAGACAATGAGGATTTGAACCCATGACCCTGGGGTCAGCAGTCTGATCATCTAGCTCCATTATACATGATTATTTCTTAGTATGTGTAGATAATAGCCGATGACACATAATGTGTTGTTCGAGATGGAAAGTGTTTTTGTGTTTACTGCGTTTTAAAACAAGCAACACAATTTCCCCTTTTTATCTGCAAGTTTTACATCAGACCGACTCATTAAGTAGCTTTCTTTGGTCAGTCCAGGGTACATTTCCCAGATACACCATTCAGCCTTCTAATGGCCGCACTAGATACTACCCCAATATACTGGGAAAGGGAGGGGTGTTCCATTGCAAAGTGATCAGCTTACTTGCATTGTGCACTAAAGATCGCATGCATCATGCAGTTTATGAGTATAGTTTTTACATAGATCCCAGGGATCATTGCTGGAGCCACAGAGCTCATGCTTTATGCGGGGCTCTCTGTAGGTGGAAAGACATTCTGTGGAAAGACCTAGTAACAGTTGGTATCATCTAGTGCAATAAGTAATACCTTTTGACTTTAACTTTACCCAGCAATCCTAGGGAGGGCAGACATTTGTGTTTTAAAAATAAATAAAACACTGTAGAAGTAAATTAAAGATCCCCTTTTCACACCTTTCGGTGCATCGGGCATATAAGAAAAGCACCCATATTTTTACAAACCAATCGGCACTAGGTGGGTAATGTGGTCAGCATTAAGATAAAACAGTAGTAAAAAAATTGTAAATAACCATTTTCCACACATGTAGGGCTAGACCTATATTTTATAGACCAGTCAGCACTCAGGGGGTGGAAGGGGGGGGGGGGGGGGTTTATAGTCAACATCATGGCGGCCACTGTGACTTTACCTGGTACCCATTAAAGGCTGGGTCGGCAGTCTAAGAGTAAAGGTTATTTTAGTCACAAACAAGTAGAACAGAACTTTACACTTAACTAACTGTACACTGTTCTCAAATTATAATTTGTCTTTCTAATTTTGCTCATTTTTCCACAGGCTATCAAGAAAAAGGCAGAGTTTAGAGTTTACATTCTATTTTTCCTTGTTGTGTGTTCACTTTCCTTACTGTTTTTAGATTGGTACAATAAGTAATTGACAACATATTGCATAGAAATTAATTAAAAACAGAGGCTGTACTGATATGATACACTCATGCAATTTTTTTGTTTTGTTTTGTTTATTTATTTGTGTTTCTCTTTGTTCATCGTGCTTTTGTCTACCTAGATGTGTAGAGGCAGTTATTTATTTCAGTTTCCAGCAGCATAGCATGTGTCATCATTGGCTTCTCTACTTTAGTCAGAGAACTCTAAAGGATTGGGAGTCAATTAGCTAGAGGTTTACGTTCCAGTCTGAAGGTCTTGGGTTTGAGATATAGGACCCACTCCCACTGTCACCTTGTGTTACTTAAAGCTAGGTACCATAGTTCATCCAAGCATGCATAGACTGGTCTCGATTGAGTGTTGTGTGGAGTAAATCAATATTTGGTTCAGTGGACCTGATGGCGAGTACTAGCAACGCACTGTGGAGCGCAAAGAGCACTGTGAGGTATGTAGAATACCCTGTCATCCACTGCACCTGACTCCATCTCAACTTGTCTCGACTTGTCCTGCCACTGTATCCAGATTGACACAGTTGAGACAGTGAGGTCAATGAAATTTCACAAGTCACTTTTTTCATATACACTTTTCTCTGTCCTCATTGTCCTAGATCCTTCCTGGCCCACATTGGGCTTATAAATCACTTCTGGATTCAAAGACAATCAACTAAAGTTTCATGGCGGATGAAAGAAAGAGTGTTCCTTATCACTTGTGATGGATAAACAATACCACAGTTGGATAAGTGTTTACACATGACCATTGATTCATTCATATGTGTCGATTCCCCCACACACACACAAAACTGGTTGGCAAATTCTGGTTTTGCTCTCTAGGCAGTTGTAATTAATTCCCTACTGGCAGAATCTGGTTTTCCGGGAGAGGGGGTCTTAGGTTTGCATTGAGGCAGACTTTAATCCTTGGAAGTAAAGGTGGCTGATGCGATGTCACAGTGGACTACATATCGATGTGTGAAAATATATGTCTGTCTGCCATATAGCAAATCCTCCCCTGGTGGGAAAAATGTCTCCTTCTTTATTTTACTCACCTGATATTGGCACTTAGATTCGAAGATTTGGTGTATTAATGACGTAGTACAGCTAAGGAAAGTTTCAAAGAAAAATTATAAAACAATGTCTCTAACATCTTTAGAAATACTGGACAAGCTATGTAGAGTTGCTTAAGTCCTGTTTAGTAAGAAATAAGTTTTTAATTATAGTATCAATACTCATTCTTCTGCATTCATGCTTAAAAAAGTAGTTGGCATGTTTTATTGTGGTTGACAGCTAGACTGTGATATCTGTGCTTCTCAGCCCAACACATCTGGTTTTAGCAAACCTCTAATTAATTACCTTGTAAGCAGGCCTGGAACCAGAAATATTTTGGTCATATCAAGCGCCATGGTGGATTGGGGAAAAAATAATAGCAGAAGGCATGGCAGCAGGAAGGATGGGCACAAGATATAAGTGACTCCTTGAATATGAAAGTTCACGAGACAGAAGAGCTGGTGGGAGACCGAGTTTTTTTTTTCAGGCAGACTGTGATGGGAGTGAGATTCTGCAAAGGACCTGCTACTTGATGACGATGACATACTGCAGGTTTTTTGGGTGCAGTGGTCTGTGTTTTTTTCTGGGCCTTGAAGCCCACGCAGGGACTTAATTTTTTTTACAAAATTTTAAAAAAGGGAACTTATTAAAGCTGCCTAGTTTATCAATCGGTACATTGATGTTGATGATGTACGCACATGTGTGTGTATGTGTGTTTTCCACTGGAAAGATAAAGTTGTCTTTGTCTGACATAATACAGTGTTCAATATGGTAATGGGCATCTTCTGGATTTTAATTTTGCAATTTATCCTTTGGGAGCTGGGATAGTGCAGTGACTAGATGCTTGTCTACTGGCCCAATGGTCTTGAGTTTCAATTCACGTTAAGATGGATTTTTTATAAATGACCTAGGACTTCCGGGTCGACCCAGCATAAAATGAGTACCAGGAAATGTCATGGAAAGTAAAGACAGCTGGTATAATTTTGGCATATTGCTCATTGGGTGCCAGTTGATCTAGCAAAATATATGTCTAGCAAAGTGTGTGTCTAATGTGCCACTGGTGTAAAGAGTTCTTTGCTTTGCTTTTATGTATCAATTAATGCTTTGCACTGGTAGCATTTTCATGTTTTTGGAGAGTATCATTGGATGTTGATCACACAGTAGAATACCAACTTATTTAGGAAGAATAAATCCAAAGCACAGACTAGGTTTGATCCATTCAGATTCCATCATTATTGATTTCCACTTTTTCTGTTAAATGTCATTCGGAGAAACTATTTGTGATCAGTTGCTTGATGGGTAGCATTGGCTATTGTCATTACATAAAGGAATCTGGCAGATGCTCAACCCTAAGGAAAGTCAAGACAGGTATACAATCAGAGAGTTAATGATGCCATCGGAATTGGAGCTCTTTGTTTGCTGAAGATCAGGACAGAACTCTTATAGGAATATCCTGAGTGCTGGGATGTTGATTCCTGATTCAACATTCCATAAGGATATAGAATATTTTTAATGTCATCAGTCCCTGTTATCTTTGGGCATGCTCTTGTCCTCACTTTGTGGCTACAGTCTAACGAGCTGACTGAATCATTTGATATTCTACTTTTTAATGAATTTGGGGTACAGTGTTATTCCAACAGTCTGTCTGATACTATGATTTCTCACTTTGTCTTGGATGGTTAAGTAGGTGACTTTCCTTAGGCATCTCATCTCACAGGTTAATTTTACTTATGCAAGCCTTTGATAATTCCAAGTCTCTAACTTGTATTACAGTGTTGATGAGAAAATCCTGTTTACAATCCTTTTCTTGGCAGCCATACTTATGTTTGGATGACAGGCGAGTATTATTCAGCCGATATTTACCAGACTAGGAATTCTACAAACCTGCATTACTTCAGCCAGACTAGGAATTCTACAAACCTGCATTACTTCAGCCAGACTAGGAATTCTACAAACCTGCATTACTTCAGTTTTAGTTGTCTTTTAGACTTCATGGGTCATAAATATTGGCTTTGGTTAGTGTTTTTCCTCGCCTCCCAGGCAGATGCACTCTGACTTTGAAGGAAAATACACTGAACTGAAGACAAAACCTCAGTGCTGGCCAGATATAGTGTATATATAAATATATTTACAAGCTTACGGGGCTGAATAATCTCTATATATGGTGTCCATCTCAAGTGCTGGAGGTCCCTGTTTTCAAAACCCCGGTGAAGGCTGGGATTTTTTCACATGGACTTCTAGTAATTTTCTCTGGTCTCTGGGTAGTAAGATTGGACGCCCGTGTGTATTCTTGCGCACGTAAAGAAAATTCCTTGGTAGTTGGAAATTGAAAAGATTATTCTAACGGCCCTGCCCGAGCAAAATTTTGAGTTAAAAATTTAACTCGAGTATTTCAGCGGAGTTCGTGCACTGTGCTGAGATTCTTCAGACTCAGGCTTGAGTTAGAAGTAGAACGGAGCACTTATGGGTGACACCCGTATGCCATGATGTTGATCTGTTGAAAAAACATAAACAGTAGCTGGGACTATGACTGACATGTTTACCTGCCAACACTGAGGTCGTATGTTTGAATGCCCTTTGAGGTGGGAGTTTACGTATTCATTGACCTGAGGCTTCCAGCTACAACTCAGCCTGAAACTGATACTAGGAAATTTCCATAGAAAAAAAATGCAGCATGAAAATGACTGTTTTGCCTATTGGGTGCCACCCCAGTCCGATCTTTGGCTCACAAAATTTATTTGACTAAATTAAATTTTGGGGGGAAATAAAACAAATCTGTGCATAAAGATTATTATTCACAAGTTTCCTTATCTTGATAAGTTTCTTCTGTTATTATATATTGCAGAAGTGATTTATTTTCAGACAATAGACTGTCTAGCTTGTGAATGGTTAGATTCCCAACCATTCATTAAATTACAGAAACTTGGCAAGTGTCTAGAAGTTCTTGATTAACAAAACTGATATGAAAAACTTATTTCATGCTGTTTTCATTTACTGTGTCACTGCTGTTTTTGGTATAATTGAGACAGTATGTAAATAAATATACTGAATACCACATTCTAGAGGGTCATCTTCTGTTGACTTGTATCATCCTCGGCTGTGTGCAGGTGTGTGCCTGCGTGACAGTGTTTGTTTGTTTGTGTGTTTCGTTGTCTTCTTTATTTTCAGCATCTAGTTAGAGACATTATGTACATTTTTTTAGGGTGTTCTCTAATCAGTTAGTGCACTGCTCTAGGGTTCAACCAAGCCAAATAAAATGGGTTTCAGGATATCTGCAAGTAAAAGGGACTGGTCATTCCACCTCATTATGTTTCTGTTCTTTCTTGCCAAGAACTTCTACACAAGATTCATTCCAGATTCCCTTGATTTGATTCCAGCAGACTTCAGTGCTTACATCTTCAGCTAACTGCTGCAACACCTGGTACTTATTAGAGACTATTACTATTACTCTGTGGTCTACAATTTGCAAATACCAGACTCTTCACAGTCCAAGGGTAGCCTGTTGTCCCAAAACTAGAGAGCAACAACAGTGTGGAGGTAGAATAATGAAAGATGGAAATTTATTTTCAAAGAGCAGCACTCCTTTGAGTTTTTTGTAAATCCAAAAGTGATGAACTTCAAAGACTTAATAGCAGCACTTCACTTAATATTTATAAATCCAAAAGGGTTGTAGTACACTGTATCCTGCCTCGTTATGACATATGTGGACATGAAGAAGCTTACATACTGTTGAAATAAGATAGAGGACTACCCCAGACTTATACAAACACTGACAATAAGACCGGAAGGTTTATAAGAAAATTTTTTTAAACCAAAAAGGAATTGGCATACAAGTCACTAGAAAAATTATGTGAATTACTAAGTCAACTGAAGAGAATAAGTAGCAGTATTGATATACACAGTGCCTATAGCAAGGTGAACAGCTAGAGATCACAGCTACAGATGAATTTTA